GTACAAATTTAGTCACATGAGCTGGTTGCATTTATTACAGTAGGTTATCAGTCAGCGATTGAATGTCCAATCAAATCTAAATAAACACAAGTGACTTGTTTACTGTGGCATAAATGACGACTCTTGGTTATTCCCTCTGAGCTGCTGATGGTCAAGGGAAGTTGGCATTATGGGATACAATGTAGTGCCTTCAGAGCAATATCAGCTCACATTTACTGTAATTACATGAACACCCATTCTAATGAAGAGAAGTGCACATGCTAGTAAGACACTACCGGCAGGTTTGTGGAGGACACAAACACCTCAGCCTGCATGCATTTGTTTCCAGCAGTAAGATTTCAGTGGCTGCAGAATTTCCATTCCTTACAACCAGGATAAAACTTCCTAAATCTGTGTGCCTCAGGGATGCTGTTAGTGTGCGGAGGTCTAGTGAATGGACCATATGCGCTCATCACAACTGCAGTGTCTGCTGATTTGGTAAGGATGTTTAACACTACTGTAATTCGAGTTTGATTGTGTTTGTAAATCATCATTTATTTCATTTTAAAATCACATTCCCCCCCTGGCCGCCTTTCCCCGCCCCCCCTTCCTCTATTTGGCTGTAGGGCACCCACAAGAGCCTGAAAGGCAACGCCAGAGCACTGTCTACAGTCACAGCCATCATTGATGGCACAGGATCTGTAGGTCAGTACTGCTGCTCAGCTTATGTTTACAGCTTGTTTGGATGAGAATGAGGGGTCTTATTAGGGTCCTATTAGTGATATGTATGATAGTAATAATTGTTAATAATTACATTTAACAAGTGCATGAATCCTCAGCCAAGAATTGATTTTAAATTTGTGTACAATCTGCGTGTTCAGAGTAATGAGGGCTCATTGGCTCAGGCTAAACAACGAAGCTCTGGCTTTGTTGGATTTGATGATAATAAACGATACAAATATCACTTTAGTTACCATTTAATGATGATTATGTTAGCATGCCTTGTGTTATTTTTGCTCATTTATAATCATCCCATGTAGAAATGTGAAGAGAGGATTCATGTACACGAATAATCTTGTTCATGTTTGGGATGTCAGGCGCAGCACTTGGCCCGCTGTTAGCTGGACTTCTGTCTGCAGGCGGCTGGGATCAGGTCTTCTACATGCTGATGACTGCTGACTTTCTTGCTCTGTTGGTAAGGCCTTTAACTTGCATCATATAAGATTACAAAATGACAAAACGAAAGCAAAAAATTGGCACCTATGTGCACATTAGCACAGAATACTGGCCTCTTTGAACACACTGATAGTTTTCCAGCTCTTTGGTTCAGTCACTGCTGCTGTAAAGGTTTTTTGTAACAACAAGCAGTTGTTTTCAGAAAATCCATCAGTCACTACCTGCTCAGGAGCAAAGAGCAGACAGATGCAGAGACCAGCTGGTGAACCAGTGAAAAGTCAGATATTTAGCTCAGGAGCTAGAGATGAGAAAAATAAGACAATGTTGTGTTTTTACCCTTGTTTCTGATGCCCAATAAAATGCTCACAGATGAGCAAACAGATGCTCATACTAATGTGTAACCTTGCAGCTTTTGCTACGGCTCGTGACAAAGGAGCTGGCCTCATCTAAATCCCATCCTATCTCCACTGTAGAGTAAGTCCTCCTGTTATCTCGATCATGATTATACTCAGCCTGACTGCTGCTTTTGGTGCTGTACTGTAATTCTTGTGTATCTGCATTAATTTGATGTTCAAATGTTGGGCTGCTGTTTTTTTTT